CCTCTGAACATCAGGAAACACTTTTTCATTGTGAGGGTGACTGAGCACTGGCACAGGTCGCCCAGGGAGGTTCTGGAGTCTCCATTCTTGGATAAGTTGGATCGTGTGGATGTGGCGCTTCAGGACATGGTTTAGGGGACATGGTGGCGCTGGATTAATGGTTGGACTTGATGATCTTGAAGGTCCTTTCCAACCTAGTGTTTCTGTGAAATCTGTGAAATCTGTGAAGTTCAAAAGCTGTCTGGACATGGTCCTAGGCAGCTGGCTCTAGGTCGCACTGCTTGAGCAGGGGGGTTGGAGCAGATGACCTCCAGAGGTGCTTTCCAACCTCAGCCCTTCCATGATTCTGTGAATTTCCTCCTGTGACAGGGTGGCTGGTTGCCCAGGCTGTCGGGAAGCCACCACAGGGACACCACATGGTGTCGCAATGGCTGCTGAGAAGCTTGCCAAGTCCCAAGTCCCTCCCTTGGGAGCAAGGGAGGGAGAGAGACAAGAGAGACGAAATCCCCACGAGGTGGCTCTGCCACTCATTGGGCACCGCTCAAACCCTACTAATCAACAGCTTCTTGGGCAATCAGGGGGCTTTGCCAAAAAGGCCTCAGAAGGGGATGTCCTGGGCCCCGCTCAATTCTCTGGTCTCCCAATGGCAGAGAAAATACCCCATCTGCAGACGAGCCCAGGTTGGAGGCGGGTTTCCAGCATCCCAGTGGAGGAGCTTGGATTTAAACTGGTCTCGCTACATTGCAGCAACGCCCCAGGCTCAACCCGCTGAAATTTAATAAAGATAAAGCCAAAGAGCCGCTCTGAGGAAGGCGAGCCCCGGCGCACAAACTCTGTTACACCGGCTCGCTGGTGAGACAGGAGCGCTGCGGAAATGGACCCGAGGGTGAAGCACAGCTACGGGGATGTCAGCGACGCGGCGTTCATACAAAAAGGCAAATTTTACTCGGGAGAGGTGGGTGAGACACGCAGGGTGAGGAGGAGGAGGCTGCGCCCATGGGCCTGGAGGGACCTGTGGGCTCCGTCTTCAAGCGCTGTGTTTTGAGCTGAATTTGGACAAATAGAGTATGGAGACAGTAATGAAAAAGACAAAGTCTGCGAAATGTGGAGAAGGGGAGGTTTTCAAGGCAGCTCTGACTGCTCCCACAGTGTTACCCTCTTGGCTGCACAAAATGAAGACAGCGTTTAAAAAACGACAGCGTTGCCCTTTTCTTCGTGTTGCTCTTCACGTTTCCAGCTCTGTTCATGCTCTCCTTTGGGGTTTTGTCAGGCTTCGGAAAGGATGCGATGCTGAAGCAGACTGACGTGATGGTGGGTCGTCACGCAGTATGTGTACTGTATATTTGGTGGTTCTGTGGTGCTTTAAGTTTGCAAAGCACGGTGCTAATGTTAACCAGCCAGTCCAAGGGGCTTGCGTCCCGTTGCGTTTATGATAAAGCACGTCGGCTGTGTGTCCCCTGACATTTATATATAGGAACTTCAGAGGAGCAGCTTTTATTTTATTAGGACGCACACTTTCATTGGAGTCCTTGAGCAGAGTGCATGAGAGGAGAGATGAACATCCCAAAAGATATTTATAGATCTGTGTTCCCAGTCTTTTCCTCTTCAGTATGAAAGCAATTCTACAAAAGGATTATTTTGACTGGCTGTTCAAGATTTCCAGAGGAGATTAATGTGCAGGAAGCCTCGCAGCGCAACTGGAAAAGCTCGCTGGCTTTGCGCATTTTCATGAGCTTCATGGCTCACTGCGTCAAGGTTATCTTCCTCCGACAGGAAGACGTGGACCTCAAATAGCAATGCAGCAAGCGGGAGGGCTGGGGTCTGACAGCAGCTGCTGAAGCGCAGAATTACCTGTGCCTGGAGAGCACTGACCGCAACTGGGGGTTACAGCGGATGCAGGCACCGTTCCCCAAGGCGCCCATCCCTCCCCTCGTCTTTTTTTTTCCCCTCTCGAGAAAATCCCCTCTTTCAAATGGCCAAGTGGGATAGGATGGAGCTGTTTTGCATGAACCTTTCTCCCAGGTGGACAGCGTTTTTTAGGTGATGCCAACTTTGCCTGACACAGACAGTGATCTTACCTGCATCCCACAAAAGAAGGGGAGGCAAGAGCTGCCCAGATGTTTAGGTTTCAGGGAGAGGGAACGATTTTATGTGTAGATACAGCACAAGCTGTTTGCAGAGTCATTTTTGCTCCACCTTAGCCCTCCCTTGCCAAGGCAATTCCCCAAATTACAAAAAAAAAGCCAGAACGTCCTTCCATCCTGCACAAAAGATAATATTCTGCCTCTCCTGCCAAGGGGTTTCTGCTCTGTCCAACTATATTTACAACAGTGTTGCTCTGCTGCGGTAAAGAGATGGGGCTGCTTCTTCAGTGTCTCTCATACCGTCCTAATTTCCTCTTCTTTTCCTTAAGCAGAGCCCTCAGAGTGACGTTGTGCTTAAAAAAACCCAAACCAACCCCTTGCAATTCTTATTTTAAGGCAGCCACACCAAACAGATTCTCTTTGGCAAAGCTTTTTTCTCCCTGCACACCCAGAAATCAGCTTAGCCAGCCCTGGAGTTGATGTCATGGTTGGTTTGGGTTTTTTTTTTTGCAGAGAGGAGGGTGACACCCTGTTTTCCTCCAGGCATAGGTGAGAGGTGGCTTTGGAGCGAGCCTCAGCAAAGGGAAGCAACGGGCCGGGTTTCCAGCGCAGTGCTGGTGCTGCCAGCGGGTCCTGGGGACAGGCGGGAGTCGGAAGGGGCACAGCAGAAGAGCAAAGC